ATTAAGTTTGATATAAGAAAAACTCGGTGATTTTTATAGGAATATGTATATTTTTTTCTCAAAATTTCAATGAGAATATTTTAATCAAAAAGTTTTTTTTAATTAATAGATCAATTTATATCTTCTTTTTTTTTAAAAAAATTCCTACGTTGTATATCATTTTAAATAAATACAAGGGTCCTCGCAACAAAAAAAAAAAAGATTTCTAAATCAAGAGTAAAATAATTAAGATTGATAATTCAATTCAATTCTATATGCATTCCAAACAATATAATTAAATTCAATTATATAGTTTAATATTTTATTACAAACATAAAAATTATAATAATTATCAATTGAATTTAAATCATATATAAAATTGAATTTCATGCCATTAAAAAAGTTGAAAAAAATGCTTTATAGGTTGTCTACAATCAATTCTAAATTATAGTATTTAATTTGAATTTAATGAATAAATAAATTAAATTCATATATTTAAAAAAGATAAAATTCAAATCAATTTGTTTTTTATATTACCTTCATTACATTTATTTTATTTCAATTAAAGGAACTGGCCTCTGATTTAGTTTTATAGTATTTTTAGAGATTACATTTCATTTAAAATTCAGTTCAAATCTTGACACTTAAAAGAGTTTCAACCATAAAATTTCATGAGATTCTTTTAGCTGGTTCACACCAAAAAATCAAGTTAACCTACTAAACCATAATTAATCCACCAAAAGAATATGAATTTCAATGCAATAACGTAGTCTAGCATTTACAACTTGCACAAGAAATACAACCTAGAAGCTTTAAAAATCTCTGGACACGTAATATCGCTGATTCTCATGGCTTCTTAGCAAAATCTATACACAACACTGGCGCAAATCATGAGTACAGAATATGATTGGCAGGAATGGTAGGAGGCCAGAATATTTTACCTTCTCATCGTGCTCCTCGTTCATGGACTGAATATATGCCAGTGATGATCTGTCGGTAAGTTTTCTTTGATCTTTTCAAGTCTCTTAAGAATTTCCAAGAAAGTAGGTCTTCTATTCATGTCAGCGGCCCAACATTGATCTGTCAATCTAAAAACATTGAACAGTAAAAAAAATTAGCAATCAAAGGTTCAGACACCTCCGCTGAAGAAGATAGAGCGTTGACATGGACTGATATTTTGGTTGTTGAACAACCGACGGGCAGTTCAAGATAAAGAATGATGCTGAAAGATTTGATAATTATTAGACACAGGATGCCCAATTTCATAACAATATCAATAGCTTCTTTCCTTTTTTCATCTCAGGTAACTGTCAAATACTTAAAACCATGAAACTCGTTCCTTTTTTCATTTGACAAATTAGATATGGCTTATCAGTTATTGTCTATCTAGCAGTGCAGTTTGGTTTACTGGCTTTGGAAGATGCCTAAAAATTTCAACTTCGCTTTCCCTCACATACATTTACCATCAGTAGTTAGGAGTATGTTATGGAATGGTACAGGATGTGGAACTTCTGTAGACCTACGTAGACAGGAAATATTTAAAAAATAAAACCAATGAACTTAGAACATCTTAAATCTGACATACTCTCTGAGTTCGAAGACATTGAATCCTTTCGAACGAAATGTCGGTCTATGCCCTTCTGCCACGTACTTGGCTGCTTCATAAGGCTCAAAATTTGAAAAAGGCGGCTCCCCTTCAAGCATCTGCAACAAAGAACATGATGCATCATGACTTGTTTTGAATACAAAATTTCTAATTTTTATACTCATCAGAATCACAATACCTCATATAGTATCATTGCGAAGGAGAAAACATCTACTTTTTTATCATATTTCCGGTGCTTGAAAACTTCAGGAGCCATATACCGGTCTTATGTTTGTTCAAAAAAAAAGGAAGAAATAAAGAAGCATGAGATCATATTTTATTTAAAAAAAATAAAAATGCAAGAGACACTCACAAGAAAAAAAGGAAGAAAGAAAGAAGTAAGCATGAGATCATATTTTATTTTAAAAAATAAAAATGCAAGAGACACTCACAACTTCCTGTCTCGCCAGTCATTTTGTACACATCATGAGAGTTTTGAACCTTGATGAGCTTGCTTAGACCAAAATCTCCAACTTTCAAATGGTCTGCATTGGAGTTGACTAAAAGAACATTCCTGAGATTTAGAGAACAAATATTAACAGGTAAAAAAGGGCGGGTGCTGTAACTACCAACTACACATTCTCGATACTGAAAGGGCTCAAACATCTAAGAAATGCATTTTCCATATCAGGAAAAGCTAAGTCTGTTAGCCAAGAGTTCTTCAAATAGGAAGGCGTCAGTTCAAGCATGGAAATTTCAGCTAAAAAGCTATAAGGCATAATTATATGTCCTCGTAAAAAAATTGTACTCGCTCACCTTGGTTTTAGGTCTCTGTGAACAATGACATTTGGTTCATTGTGAAGACATGCCATGCCTCTGGTCATATAAGATAAACAGAAATCAGATTAGCATGACAGTTAAAGCCACTACGGTTGCATCCATAACTTGGATAAAAGTTTCTGAGACAAAGCTTCAAAATACTTCAAATTTTCTAATGCTTCATTTTCCCAAATAAATGAAATACTGCATTACTATTTGCACAAAGCTACATGGCTTGTGCATGTTTCACAAAGCTGCTATGCGTGGAAAACAAGGAAAGTTAACAAAGGAATAAATTTCTTCACGTTCAAGTACAATGATACTTGTAGGATTCTTCAATTATTCTCATTCTTCTTTCTTGAAAAATATGACTGAAAAACTAGGAACGTTCAGGTAGTTGGACCTGAACAAAATACTCCTATTATTAAAGTGTCACCAAGTAACTGCAGCTAGGAAGGAAGAGAAGGCACATGTGATGTGAATAGGACCATATTGCCCGCACAGGGTCCAGAAAGCATCTTCTAGTGAGTAGAACAATTGATTACAAGAGGCCCAAACCAAGAAGACATAGAAAGAGAAAAGGGGGCTTTGATTAGAAATTATATGACAAGCATAGCTTCCTTGATCTATAAAATATTTGAAAAAGAATGATAATTCAATTAATTGTAATTAGCTTCACTAAAATGATCTTATATTAAAAAAAATTATAAGAGAATCTCATCCAACAATTTTGAACAGTTAAATGAAAACTAAATTTATCAAAGAAAGAATAAATACTAGACAATTTACTGGTACAGCTCAGAAAGTGGAGAGGTTCTGCTATGCTTGAGTCATGTTACTACCCTTGTCAATTCACAAACTCCCTTATTTTCTGAAAACCCAATGAATTGGATTCTAAAAGCTAAGGTATTAGCTTCCCTGGGAGATGAGCTCTTTTAGGTATTCATGCACACCTATAAAATGAAAGCATGGCCTAGCAGCTACAACAAACCAGACAAACGGGTAGAAGGTGCTCCTTCCCCTATAGCAAATACAGAAGTATAGAAGCTTTTATGTACCTGGCAATGTCCAGCGCAAAGTTTATGGCTGTTGATGGACTTAGCGCGCCCTTTTCCTTGAGGTACTGATGAAGATCACCCTGTGTCACCACATGAATAGATTAAGATTGGCTTAGAAAGTTAATCAGTGATAAAAAAGATACCTTCTTCAAAGAGAATCCAAAAGTAGGAATAACAAACAGATACTGAGTCATATACCCCTCGCAGATATTCAGTAATTAACATAAGAGGCTTCCTCTCAGTGACTGCTCCCAGAAATTGGACTATATTAGGATGACGAAGCTTGACTAGCAAATTAACCTCATGCCTGAAGTCCTGACTGAACCAGTAAAGTGAAAGAAGAGTTAACAAATTGACAATATATATAACTTGAGAAAAAGAAAGTGTATTGCAGCAACAAAAGGCACCAGATTGATCAAGATATTGAAATATTGTCCCCATTTGAGTGAAATTCTCTTTTAATTTCAATAGAAAGTGGATGTTTGTCAATATCAGAAGAAACCATAGAATCTACAATAAACTTCATCCTTTCTGAGTGAAAAAATACAACAATCCTATCTTCTACCTGTTTCTGATTCACTGCTATGATATGGTTCATAGCATATAGCATAAGCAAATAGGAAAACAAATAAATTATTGGTCAAAGTAAGAAGTTCACATATTAAGCCTGATTGTTGATGTTGATGTTGATGTTGATGCCATCTCTGGTTTTGGTATGAGATCAAAATTCATATATAAATCACCCAAAGTTTTTATCCACAAGGAAAAAATGTTTAACAAACACAAGGGAAATGCAACTGTAATACATGCGCAATTCAACAATAGGAAAGCATTACAAAGAAAGGACTTACATCACCAATCTATCATCTGAGAGGGATGGAAGAATGCGTTTAACAGCTACCGGTGTTCCACGCCAAGATGCTTTCAAAATCTCACCAAAAGATCCCTAACAGAATAAGCTACAATTAGAAGATATACTTGGAGAATATAAACCAAGAACCTGAAAGTCGTGCCCCAAAGTTCAAAAATTTGACACTAGAATGAAGCAAAGATGTCAGATGCAAAAAATATGCACCAACAGTGTGGAATAGAGAAAGAAAACATATTAACCAAAACTTACTTAAGATCGTCCAGCCGAAAAAGTTATTCCCTTCCTTCAAGTCAAATACAAGCTTAAAATACAATTGCTAGTTGAGAGATGGCTATGCATATATAATGCAAGATTAGAACAGTAAAGGTAATTTTATCACAATAAAAGGCACTGTTTAAAAGACACGAACTCTAACATGTATCAAACTGCTGCAGAACTTCAACACACAGAACAGTTTTATAATGTCCACTAAAAACTTGACAGGATTGACCATCCAAAAACATCAAATAACGATTTCCCAGTTATACTCAAACTTATTAATACAATAGTTTGTCAACTTTAGACATTCTATTATCTGTATAATTGATCCTGAGAAATAGAATCAAACCTTTCCAATAATGTTTGAGTTAGAGAAGTCCAGCTCAGAAGGTTCAATTTCCCAGTCACACTTATTTGGTAGAGGGGGCGGAACAGGCTTTGGTTCAAAATGGCTTCCATTTTGTCCCTGCAATTTGAATAAACGAAGTTAGCTCTAATAAAGGCAATTAAAAGACACAGAATGAATGATGTGCAATTATATTTGTATAATGTATATGACAGCAAAGCACAAAGCATACGGCATTGAGTATTGAGAAGGAACGTTGAATTATCAAACAAATTGCCACAGTGGGTCACTACACATTAGTTACAGCTGATGAAAAGAACCAGATAACCAAAAAACAGTCAATAACCAATGCCAACACAGAGTAGCACTCATTACACGCCAGTCTTGCTGGAAAATTGCTAGGCTGGTCGTTACGTGAGCGATAAAGCAAAGGTTAAAAGCTTTCCCCTTCTATTACATGGTGTAAAGTAATTAGCTTGCAATTAATCCACCAATAAATGCCCAACAATCGAGAGCTACATAATTTCATTGTATCAATAGGTTTATACAATAGTAAGCTGCCGAATATGATAGATCATATTAGCAGTGGCTATCTACAACGCCCAAATCCCTAATGTTGGATGCTATGAACTGAAACAATACGTTAAAAATATCCAGCAAGAAACCTCCAAAGCTACAAATGCTAAAACTAGTTATGGTGAATACAGGGAAACATGGCTAGCACGTTCCTTGGTTAATTCATCACTGATTGTAGAATAAACATTTATCCCCAAGAAACAAAATTCTTTATTTTATCATCAATGAGACAAAGAAACAGGTGTCAACAAAGGATTGGAGAAGGACTGTACTCACATATGACAAGCCACCGTATGATTTTAAAAGTTCAATCATGCTGTGCTTTTTAGCTCCTTCTGCATCAGCTAGTGGCTGCAATGACAGAAAATCTACATGACAACTTATCAACTGCAACCACCACGAGCGCACTCCCATGCATATCAAAGAGACACAAAACAGGCGAATGAGACATCCAAAAGAGCAGGGAAAGATGATGATACCGTGTTTTTCCAGCGATCTTGGGCGTTGACATCGGCGCCAAACTCAATCAAGCACATAGCGACATCGATCCATCCATGGAGAGATGCCACGTGGAGAGGAGTCCGTTTATCGTAATCCCTAGCACTAACGAGAGATGGATCTTCCTCTAGAAGCTTCCGGACGGCAGCGGCGTCGTTTTGATGGGCGTGCCACAGTATCAAAGACGTCCTGCTCACTCTCGCCTTCTCCTTCTGCTTGCCTGCCGTCGAAGACGACGAAGGTGACGAAGAAATTCCAGCCGTGGAAGTGTCGGCGACGGAGGATGGAGTCTCGGAGCTCATGAGAAGGAACGGAATCAGTATCCGAAAAGAAGAAGAGTGATTCTGGTTTTGTTAATATTGCTTTGAATGCGTGTGGATGAAATTTATTTTAGAGTGGGAAATGGAGAGGGAAATTGGAAGGGGAGGGAATTCTATGAAGAAAAGCGGAGGTTTGTACCCGTTATTCCGCTTTTTACTTTTTCAACAGAAAATGTAACGTTCGCTTCCCTCTCTCTGCTTTTTTTTCCCCCTCTTTCTTTCCCGGTCATCCACCTTCGGTGTCTCGTTTTATATTCTCAGATCAAAACACGGGCCGTAGCTGGGGAGGTGAGGGCCGTACCGGTTTTCAAAGATCTAGCGGCGGGGCGAATAATAGATATCATGAAACTATTTTTTTTTTTAATTGAGACTTTAGGGGTTTGGATTTGGACGGTAGCAGTGTTTAGCAATCATTTATTAATTGTAAGGTGCCCCCGAAGCAGGCGCTCGTTCATCCTCGATCTTGGGTTCGAATTATTTTTACTGGCCTTTGGTGGGCTCCACTCAATAAAGTACCCTTAGCTTGGGTCCCGGTGGGGATCCCTCCAGATGTTTGGGGGGAGGGGTCCTCCGAGTGCGATGTTCCCTGTCGGGTATGGAATCAACCCATCTTCGTACCCCTTCTCTTACTAAAAAAAACAATTAACTCTAGGGTTTGGGGTTGAGCCCAATACCTTTCCTTCATTCACGTGTGAAAATATGGATGTAATAATAGTATATAGACCACGGCCAGCAACATTAATATCAAAATTAAACAATTTTTTTTTCTCGACAACTTCTGGCTGGAATGGAAAGGTAACGTTAATGCCTTTAGATAAGATAAGAGCGCGGCCATAACAGATGGAAAGTGCAATAGGAGCCCTGAGAAACAAGATTCATCTAAGATGAATTATTATTTATGATTCTACCTTTCAACCGTGCATTGAATAATACATCCATACAAGGAGCAGCAGTGTTTGGAGCTTGTCAAGATCCAGTTTTTTTTTTCCTTATAATTCAAACTTCAGTTCATAGGAGTTTCGCAAATTGATAGTAGATTTTTAGCAAATTGTTGTTTTTTGTTCTAAAAGAGGCAAGTTGACTAGCCTTAATAATGATTCAGATCTATACACTGCACGGAAAGAGCAAGTTGCCATACCAGTCCAATTATTCTAGGTGAGATCCCAGTCCCTATTGTTACCAACTTACCGCCACCAAAAAAGAGAGGAAAGAATTCAATGTCTAGCAACTTCGTATGATTACATGCCACCTTTAGATATTCCACTTCCGCTTATATGATCACATCAACTCCCACAGAAGGATCAAGACGCGTTTTGAATTTCAACTTCTTTCTATATAGATTGAAAAAGAAATGACAACATGTAAACCATGTTCCTGTACATAAATTGCAGTCGTTGATGTACAATACAACATTTATTATTTACTTCCAATCTTCTGATTCCCTAGAGTAAGATCCCATTCCTAACCACCTCAGATTCACACCAAGTCCTCTTGGTCTTCAAGGGACCGCTTACGAGCCCTCAAGTTAAGCTCAAGGCTTTGAGGCAGAGGAGGTTTCCTACCCCGACGAAATAGAACAGCATGAGCCCTCATTTTCCGAAAAAGATCTAATACCAGCAGGAAAAGTAGGGAAACCATTAGATACCTTATCTATAAGCTGAAACAAGATTTTGGTGGGATTGAAAGTCTGCTCAAGACTCTTACTGATGAGGCTTCGATTTCAGCAACACCTTCACAACCTTGACCTCTTCCGCTGCTTCATTTTCATCTTCAAAAACCTGCAGCAAGAGTGAACAGTTTGTATCTTTGGCTAAGCAACCAGAGACTCAGTGGAATCTTAAATAAATAAGGAGACCTGAAACAACAATTCACAGGAAGTGGCATGCAAGGTTATCCTAGTTTCCAAAGCATCTGATCAGGGGGGTAGAAGTGAGGACTTGATAGTTGTTACCATAACTTGTGCTGGCACACTCTTAAAGTTTGAACAACGAACATGTAAGGAATAATTTGAAATGACATACCCCGTGATAGAAACAAAAAGGGCCACCTAAGAAGTTCAGTGATACTAGCAGTTGGCTTAAATGCATTCAGGCACGACCAATCTTACGCTAATCTTGCTAAAGCATTTGGTTAGCATTGCAGAAAATTCAACAAGTAAAATAATCGGACATTTACAAGCACTCCCTCCCTAACATCCTCCACAAGCATCTGGAACTTTGTCCCTCTCCTCGACTGTTTAGCCTGACTTCCTATTTCCGAAGTCCACTTTCCTCCTTTGGAAAAAAGTAGCCCAAGCACCTTCTCAACTTCACTAATTCAAAAGCAAAACCCGAGTTTGGGCTCGGACAATTCTAACCTTTACTCAGGAGAATACAAAAGGTACTAAAACAACTTAAGCCTGTGATTTCTTCGAGTTTTCCTCATGCACAACTGGTTTTCTCTTAAAAGTGAGTACATACACTAGCTTTGAGGTTTCTCTCCATGGATTGGCATCCAGAACTGAATAAGAACGATAAGAGAGAAATTTGGTGAAGCTTTGTGAAAAAAGCAAATAAAGGACTTCATAAATCAATACAACTGCAGATTTACTCCAAGCAATACGTAAGAATGTACTAATGTATCCATTTACCAACTGGCCTTCGGTCCCACTCTCATTAAGGGAGTTGTGCTTCCAAAAACACTCACTCATCAGATAAAAGCAATCAAGTATCTGTAAACAACCCTCAGACATCAATGAGAATCAAATATAATTGAATACATGAAATACTCAAATTCAAGCAAACTGATGAGAGCAGTGATTACAGACACTGAGAACTATGTGCTAGAAATGAAGACTAAGACTCAAGTCAGAGGTATGGTTAAAATGAAAGAAAGACAAAATTGACAATTGCTCTCGCATGCTTTAGGGAATGCCAATTTCAGAGTTGCACAACACAACACGTACGCAAAGTGATTGCTTGATTTTGTGCACCAAACAAACACACTATTTATCTTAGATGTAATTTTAATGCTAAAAGAGTGTATCCAGTCCAACACCAGCACACATTTAGGATGGTTTCTTAAATTGGAAATTCTATACATCAATTTCATGGTCAATGTCCAGGAAACAGAACCACCTGTCTTATTCTATTAATTAAAGTATGTGAAAGAAATACCATCTCAAAAGAACAACAACACGAAGAAGAATTATCAAGTACGTTGATTAATACGAGCTAACACCCCAGTTTAGCTTGGAGATCATCAGGTAGCATCATCAATTAAGCTGATATCACCAATTAAAGGAAGAAGATTTTTATTTTTTTCTATTTTTCTTAATTTTTGTAATGTGATAGAGAAAGGATAGCTGCAAAAGGCTGCTAAAATATAATGAACTCGTGAAGTCCATGACTTGAGGCCAAGGTAGACTGCTCGCTGATCAGTGCCACATTTCCAATTGCAACTCTTTCATATACAGGCAGGCAGCTACTGAAGATTGAGTTAAGTCATTCAGCAGCAGAGCGGAAGCACCTCTCCCACAAAAACAGAAGAAGTAGAGGCCAAAGCACCTCCCTCAAAAACCAAGTTCGGTATGCAGAAAATACATCACTTCACTCGATCTCAATGAAGCAAGAAGTTATAGAATGCCTACAAATTTGTCAACATTCCTAAATTCTTTACTTCACAAGAACAAAAGAAAACTAGTTCTCTGTTGAGGCTTGGTTGTTGTTCAATAACTAAACCTCTGTTTTCTTTTTTCATTAGAAATGCAAAATGAGACATCATTCAAAAAAACTAGAGCAACGAAAATGAGCTTCAGAATCCAAAAAACTGTGATGTAATGCTTAATTCTCGAGTCTAAAACACTTAAAACACACTAATCAAGAAAACACGCATGCAGTAGCAATTAACCAATTAACATGCGCCGGAAAAGAACTGAAAGCAAAAGGGACGGAGAGAAGTCTCAGAGAAACCAGTTATAAGTTAGCAAGCTAGCTAGAATCAACTTTGTTGGCAGAATATATAAGGAAGAACTACACGGCAGAACTAATCAGGAAGGTAACTACCATCATAGCTGCTACTATCAAAACTCTGTTGAAGATGTCTACGCATATCATAAGCACGAGACGACACCTTCTTCACAATCTCATTTGAAGTCCCTGGAACTGTGCCGTCTAAATGAAACGCTCTCTCCACTTCCTCACTTCCATCATCGTTGTTGTGATCCTCTTCTTTTTTATCTCCATCTCCACTACCGCTCGCTAATTTACAAGAAAATCGTCTCCTTGTGGAAAATTCCAGAGAGAGAAGAAAGCCGAGGAGGAAGAGGACGGTGGTTATGAGCGGAGAAAGATGATGGAGTTAAGACTCGACGACGTCGTAGAGGGAGAGGGAGAACAATAGATGGAGAAACCGGGGTGAGAGAATCCATGATTGGAAGCTACTAGCTTTGAGTCTTCGATCACTCACTCACTCTAACAAAAGAGGGAAATGAATTTTGATTATTATTGACTCAGTAACATGGTCGAACAAGTTGCGAGAGTGTGGATTAAGAGAGAAAAGCGCTCACAAATTCTCGGCGTAACAAGATCCTGTAACCGAATCGTTGAGTGGTTGGTTGAAGGAACAAGGAAAGTTTGCTTTGCGATTCTGATTTTTCTTTTCACTTCTTTCTCCTGCGAACGAATCTGCATCCCGCGGGATTTTTTATTTTTTTTGGTGCGGTGGGTCCAGGAATATTTGGGTGTGTGAAAAATTAGCGAGGGAAAATTTGATCAGGCCGCAGTTGGTCCACGTGGTTGAATCTCGTGATAGTTGCAGAGCGTCTCGATTCCTATACCAACCTGCAGCCTCGGCCTGCGCTAGAAATTCTGCTGGCCCAATGGGCCTTGTTTTGTGTGGTTATAGCCTTCCCGAGCACTTTGAACTTTGAAGGCTTGAATTCAGAAGAAGATGCCTGCGCATTTGTTCCTGCTGTTGTTGAACCCCTACGTTCAATTAGAAGTTCTTTTAATTCATTTTAAAATTATTTTGATGTGTTTATGTTGAAAATAATTTTTTTAATATATATATATATATATGTATTTTCAAATAAAAACCACTTTAAAAACACCTTCTAACAAATAAACGAACCTGTAATTTCTTCATTTGAAACTCTTCTGTAGCAATTTATGCAATAGACTTGATGTTCGTCATCAAGTGTTATTTGCGTGAACGTGACTTTATCAAAGCAACTTATGCCATAAATAAAAATAATTAAGTGAATAGTTACTTTTTGAATGCAAAAGACCAATAAAGAAGAAAGGCTAAACATACATCACAGGATTTTCATATACCTAGTGATGGCACAATTACAACCGGCAGATGCTTAGAATTCGACTGACAAATTCTTTATACACACGTGCACGAATAACAGTGGAGTGAATTCAACTGACACCGGAGACCACCAACTGTAACAAATTTACGACCAATAATTTCAAGTGTTTATTAATGATAAGAAGTCTTAAATAAGATGATAAAAATGATTGCTACAACAAGAGCAGCAATTACTGAGCCAACGATCCACTTGTTTCTGGTCATTCTTCTCAACATGGAAGTTAGGACTTTCTTACTCTTGTCAATAGCATCATCTACTCCATGAAGCTGGAAAAGGAACAATACATGATTCGTAATACAACAAACTCGTTAGTTTTGATGAATTTGTGCACACGTTGGATCCATGGATCATTAACTAATATCACCAAGGAGCTTGTCCATTTAGAGGGGAAAAGATTAGATGCAATACCTTGTTATGAGCATGCAGGAGCGTCTGGCGCTGTTGATGCAAATCTTCAAGAACTGAGACACCAAGCTCTTCTGTCTCTAGCATGGCTCTTCTGCTCTCCTTAATTCTATCGCTGGACTGATTTAATCTCTCTACTGACATAGTCAATCTTTCCCTTTGATCAGTAGAAACCTGTGCCGGTATTTGACCAATTACCAAAACATTCTTGATCAAATGCATTTTGTAATCACTCGAGCAATAAGACATCCAAGGAACCCTCCAATCATCTTCTAGACATAACACCGAGATGTCCAAGGAGAGAAATCATTTGAAATACATCAAGTGAAACTCTAAAATTCCTGGCATGAATGTTAGGGATTGACCAACACAAATTACATTTGTGTTTAAACCTCTATCCTAACGTGTTTAGAGTCATTTCACTAAAGGAAAACAGGAAGACTTCTCATTTCAGAAGCCCACTAAGCATAAAGCACTCCTGCTACAAAGTTTACTTATAGCAGGCAAATACGTACGACCAAATCAAACAGTACTGTCTCAGTAGTCTAAACAGTAGCGCACGGCAGAATTAATAACAAATACATCCTCAACTCCAGCAAACATAAAAATCAGAACCTCGCTCGAGAAGATTTAAAACAGTGCCTAATAATAATAATAATTAAAAAAAAAACAGAGAGTTGAAAATCTAATCTACTACACACAGCCAAGAGAAAGTAGGCCGAGAAAACACTCGCGCAAGGGAAAACTATGCATTGGTTCAACAAAACCAAATCAATAAAGAGACTAAAAAAAAAGAGTGAAAGTAACACCATGCAATCGAAGACCCAGAAGTAGACAAATAATCTAAAGGCAAGTTCTGCTAAACAGAAAAGGTGGTGTTTCATTATTGTAATCAAAAGAAGAAATGCATACCGAATGCGCATCAGCCATTCCAGCCTCCAACAACTCTTCACGGGAAGCCTGACTACCATCACCGGACGTTATCCTTTTAAATTCCCTCTTCAACTTATTCAGATCAGACTTATATTCCCTCAACTTGGCCAGAAACATAGCCTTCACACTCGGCTGCAAACTCCTAGCTTCAAGGTCCATTTTCCTAATCTACCCAAACCAAAACCCCCACGAAATTAGAAAATTCAAAACCGCATAATAATCAGATAAAACTAAAATGCAAGACAGAAACTAATGAACAGCATACCAGAACATCACAATCATCCAGTCCGGATTTAATCTCGATAACCTTCGCGTTCTTTTCCACTGCGATTTTCAAGTAATTGATAATTATGTAGTTAATTAAAAAGGAGGAGGACGGAGAGTTTATTTAGAGGGAATTGTAGATACCTCCATCGGGAAGAAGAGAAGTAGAGTTGCATTTTCGAGAGAGATTGGCAGAGAGCTCGCAGTACTGACGCTCGTATCCTTCGAAGACTTCACTCATGATTTTGCACGGAAAGAAAAATTGGTCCGGCTTGAATCGCGAAGTGACCTACCTAGATCTAGATGTCAAATTCAATTCTGTTCTCGACGAGTAAGACCACGTAGAAAAAAGTATCGTAAAAAAGCTACGATTACTTACAGGTAATTAAATGCTCGCTGATTATCTGGAATTGAGATGAGAGCTGGCTGAGCGAAGGTAGGTGCCCGCAAAACGGATTGACCGCAAATTTAGAAATGGATATCTCTTGACTTTTATGGGAGACACCTTCAGCTTTGTCCGTGGCTGCTGCCCCAAAAAAACCGGAAATAGAAAACCAAAACGCACCGTTTGCCCTGTTGTCTGTGGCTTTATTATGGGAGGTTTTGTTTCTTATTTATTTAATTATTTTTGTAAACAGTGGAGTTTTAGAAAGTGTTTCATTCGCGGTATAAAGAACCGTTTGAAATTACACTTCAAATTGTTTTTTTTAATATATTAAAATAAAATTATTTTATTTTAAAAAATTATTTTTAAATGATATAAAAACATATAAAAAAAATTTAAAATTTTTAAAAACTCCCTAAAGATGATTGATTACTCCAAAATCGATATAAGGCTCATTTGAGCTCCAGTTTCTGGTGTTTTAAACTGAAACCTATGACAACTTTTTGATAGTAAATTAAATTAATATTCATAGTTTTGCATAATAATTTTTTTATTTGATTAAATTAATTTAATATTTTTATTATTATTTAATTAAATAAAAATTTAATTTCGATAAACGAATTTATTAAACACAATCAGGTATAATTCATATTGCAGAATCGAATATCTCGATCGATATATATTTTTTAAATTTTTAAATTTTATTTTATTTATTTATTTACATAAATTATTCTTAATTTATTTTATTAAATACATATATAAATTTTTTAATTTATAATTTGAAATTTTTTATATAATAAAAGTATAAAAAAGTTGGTATATTCTTTTTTTATTAAAAAATAAATTTAATCTACAATGAAATACATTTCAGATATCTAATTTACACCCTAAATCTTCTCATACTTCTTAAAAAAAACACCAACTAAATTATCCATAATTATCTTTAATTTTGTGTTAACCTGTACTTGACCACTTAACTTTAATTTTTTATTTATATACTTCAAATTATTAATTGTTTTAAGAAATAGTTACTTTTTATCAATTTTGATCATAAATAATAGTTTAAAAATACGACTCCTGCTATGAAAACACATAATATAAGTGGAGAAAAAAAGTTAGCAAGAGAAATAAAAATCCTAGATTGAGAAACCTAATTTTCACCACAAAAATAATCAACGATAGTTAACTTAAAAAATAATAATCAAAGTTCAAAAATTAAATTCAATTTGACTCTAAGTAGTTATGAGCAATTTTATGGCATACAAATATTTGATAAATTATAACAAGGCATCCGAAACAAACTATTTAAGATACTAATTTTTGGTTTCTCACTTGAATATCATATTCCTATTTTGTTCATGTAATCATGCACGGGTAAAGCAATCAGAGTCCAAGGAGCCAGTCCCTACACCGACACTTAAAAACACTATCATTTCGTCAAGCAGACACGTACAAGGAATCCATTTCCCGGCAGCAATGGACTTTTTGCTGGTTAAAGAAAACACCCTAGTGTACATTCCAACTTGAACAACATGCTTCAATTAACACCAAGGGAAAAAAAATCAGTTCTTAACTTTATGGATGATAATGTAACTCATACACAAAAATGTTAGTGGAGACAAATATTGTCTCCCTATGTACAAGTAAAAATACTTAATTTTTCACTTTATATATGGTGAAGGACACAAATAATGGTATAAATCATAGCATGATTTATGCCCCTTCCCTATTTTTCACTTTACACATGATGGAGGGCACAAATAATGGTATAAATCATAGCATGATTTATGCCCCTACCCTTTATATATGTGTGTGTGTGTGTGTGTGAGAAGAGAAAGCAAAAAAAAAGAGCTTGAGTGTAGAGTTGAGTTGAGAAGAGTTTTTTCCTCCTCTTTGTTTATATTGTTTTTTTAAGTGATTAATGCAAACCAGTAGCTCTATGAAATAGACAAATTGCCGAACCACGTAAATTTATATGTGTTTGAATGCTTGATTGTTCCAACACAAATATTAAACCAAATCAATTAAAGAAATGATAAAGACATTTCCTTAACAAAAAACAAAAAGTTCTTCGGAAACATGGATGCAAGCAACAAATAGACAGCCCCTTGCATCCAGAACCTCAAGACAAAATCTTGGCAGACCTAACATAGAGGCTATCAATAAACTTGCTCATAAACCATCTAGATGGTGGCCAAGTGATAAAAATTTGAGACCAAGAGATTTGTTTTTTCTGTGATCTCAGGTTCGAGTCCTTAGTTGTTCATATGATAGCCACTAGAGGCTTACATGGTGGTTAATTTCAAGATCCGTGGGATTAGTCGTGGTGCAAGCAAGCTACCCGGACACCCACGTTAATCTAATAAAAAAAACAAACAAACTTGCACATATTGGAAATGGTCTCCGATGCAGCTGGGGTCGGTTGCATCTGTTTTTGAATCATAAGAAACGACGAGGCATCCAGCACTTTGGTCTAAAGTCCCAATTTTCTTATCCCGAATCATCTGAGATAGTTTCTTCTCTGACCCTCGAAGAAGGGCCAATACCATTGCATTACTAAGCAGCTTGAGGGGTCAATCAGATCAGCAACGTGAGAAATCTCAACTCTTGAGAATGGCTCAATCACCCTGCAGAGGTTCTGCTCTAGTAAAGTGTCATGTTGAAATAAGAGATGCCGATGAACAATTGGGTCTTCCTCTATTCGGGCCTTAAAGTCCATAAGTGCAGTCTCAAAGAGCTTCAAGGAGCGTTTTGGCAACAGTTTTCATCCCGCATATTATAGCCCTGTTTTGGATGATGTCATTCATGCAACATCATCAGCTTGGCTGACCATTATTTCGCACAACAACGTATACCCGAGGCTAAATACTGCTCAGGGATCTTCAAGAGTATTGAAAGTTTAAAATGCTTCAAAGAAGTAGCTATAAGAAGTTTTCTAATCCTTCTCTTCCGCGTGAAGTATCCACTCTGCTCATTCTATAGTCCCTGGCATATAAATTGCATTGGCTGCTGTTCTAGCTGCTGTGAGTACTGCAGCCTTGGCTTTAGAGAGGTTTCTTAGAGAAAAGTGGAGCGGACTCTCCAGCAAGTCTATATCCAAGAGAAGAAGCTTGTCGTCCGATTTCTCACCTCCTTAAACAATCTAGAAAGTATATCCAACGCTTGTAAATACTCACCGCCGAAGAAAATTTTGCTTTCCACCATCTCTTCGCACAGAGAAATCTGGAGACCAGCAGTGCCAGGTATTTTAGCAACTGCATCAATTATCTCAGGAACAGTTTTAGCAGTTTTTGCCTTGGGAATCAATGTAGAAAAGGGCCTGAACTGGGTCAGAAGATCTGAGAGATTCTTGATGGCTTGTTCCTTAATCCTGAGGGATCAAGGAGAAGATGACGGGTTCTCTAGTATACAGTAGAAGATTAAAATGGCTTCAGATGGATTTTTTGCTTCTAAAGCCTGAGCAGTTGAATCCGTGGTTGCAGGAAGATACGATGCTGACATGGTGAATGCTTTTAAAAATATTGAAGTCCTGCAAAATGAAAATTTATCTGAAATGGGCAACCTTGCCTCGAGAAAGGAAGAATGACGGTACAGAACAAAAATATCCACGTCCAAAGAACTGCTTGCAGCATCTCCATCCAGAGCCTAGACAGTAACACAGGTATTGAATACCTAGGCAAGATTCCTGAGCAACTGCTAACAATCTTGACAACATGATGGTGTTAAAACCTTTCGCTGCACCAGATTCCAGTTATTGTCTCTGATACTGCCAATAACATTAGAGCCGACAACACCATTTCATCAAGCAAAAAAAGAGAAAAAACCTACAATATCACGAAATCAGTATTTTGAAAAAGCACTGATCTTAACAGCCAACTTCAACACTCAACGGGCGTCAATGAACACAATTTATACTCGGAGATTTTTTATTTTTTTCAATTTGCTATCAAAAACAATATAGAGAAACAAATAGACTCGCTGGCTGAAAAACCATGCTGGGTGGTAGTATAGCCCGGGAAACAGAAACTCATGTTCAATGGAGGCTATCACTGTTCCATACCTAGGGGCATTTGAGGATAGTTTAATCATTATCCTGGCATTCCAAGAGAGATGAGTGGCGGATGATATTACTGTTGGAATTAAAAGAGCTTAAGATACACGCATGGTTATAAAACTCGTGATTTGAATCGTACAATCCTCCGTTAACAACTCGACTCGCAATAAAAACAGGACCTCCATGAAAAGCCTGTTTGAGATCTCCATCCATTTAGCCATATTCCATATTATTTTTTAAAATATTATTTATTTAAAAATATATTAAAATAATATTTTTTGTTTTTAAAAATTTATTTTTCATATTAACATAACAAATAATCTAAAAAAATTAAAAAAAATAATCTAAAATAAAAAATAAAAAAACAAATTCAACCACAGCCTGCAGAAATCATAACCTATTCGTTAGCAAGATAGGATGGTCAAAAGATGGCGTAATTGCATTGTGGTGCTTTGTCCTTGGCTAAGAAGTAGTCTCGCATTGTGGTTGAAATTTTGTTTAAAAACATTTTAAAAGTATATTTAATGTAAAAAAATATTAAATTAATATTTTTTAATAACCTGTGGTTTAAATAGTACAATTTTACACCAACAACTCGACTCGTAATAAAAATTGGACCTCCATGAAGCCTGGTTGATATTTATTTGAGTTATTGTTTAAAATATTTTTTATTTAAAAATATATTAGAATAATATTTTTATTTTTAATATTAATATATTAAGATGATTAAAAAAAATTAAAAAACTAATTTAAAATAAAAAAATTAATTTAATTAAAAAAATCCAATTCAACCACATCCTTGTACAGCCAAAAATCATAAACTATTTAATAGCAAGGTAGGATGGTCAAAAGGACGGCGTAACTGCATTATGGTGCTTAAGGATGGCGTAATTGCAGTGTGGTGCTTTTTTCCTGGCTAAGAAGCTGGTTGAAATTTTCATTGAAAATATTTTAAAAATATGTTTAATAAAATAAAATATTAAATTTCTATTTTTTTATATTTTTTAATAGGATATGCTGATATTAAAAAATAAAAAAAATATTTTAATATATTTTTAATAAACAACCATAAAAAGGAGACATGTAATATAGTCCTTGTATTTTTTATGTGTAGCTTGTATTAAAAGTTGTTTTTTAAATTATTTTTTATTTAAAAATAAATAAAAATTTTATTTTATTTTTTAAGATTTATTTTTATATCATAATATTAAAATGATACAAAAATATTAATTTTATTCTAAAAATATTTCAAAATTTTCAGAAACATGGATTTACGGCTATGTTAACGAGTGCGGCAGTGGCCTGGCTATCCAGATGTGGGAATGTGCAGCGATGAATGTGCCGCGTGGTCCACTTATAAAAAGCTCGTTGACTTTCCAATTGTCGAGGCTTTCCTTCTCTTTTCTATTCTGGTCACAATTGAGGCTAGTTGAGCTGGTTTGAAAAATATTTATAAGAACATTAAGTAGCAAAATATTCTTGGGGATAAATTCTCTAATAAATAATCGATGCGTGGTACTCTGGAAAATTTCAATGTCGTCTCAGTAATATATTTAAAAGCTATCAGAAAGGAGAGAATCTTGAGTATTGCATACCCTGCATGTAATTCGATGGAAAGTAATTTTAACATGCATGTGTACCTATTTCCAATTAGAGACATTGGAAGAAAACTTCTTAGTGATAGAATACGAAAAAGATTTTAAGCGGTGACCTTTTTTGACTTTTTTTATAGGAGTTTCAGAAAACACAAGATATGAAATTTATTATTAACAAAGAAGAGTAACTGAAATATTATTGATTTACAAAATAGTATCTACTTGAACTAAATCCAAGTAAATCGTGTAATTTTTAATTTTTTCTGTTGCTAAATGCATAGTTTATAAAATATGATGATTTGATTTTGCATATTCTCTATCAAAAAAGGCTTTTTTAATGATCTTGAATTCGTGATACATTTCTGTGTAATTTAAATTTGTTTTTATGTTTTAAAAATATTTTTAAAAAAATAATGTTTTTTTATTTTTTATTTTAAATTAATATTTTAAAATTATTTTAATATACTAATATAAAAAATAAATTAATTTTACAAAAGCTTTCTAACATCAAAAATAATATAATTTTCCAAGAGCTTGATCGCTTCCTAACATATTTTTCTCCTCCACTCTGTTCTTACATCAATCACGAAGGGAACCCGAATTATGCACTGCATGTCCACTACAGACGGGACTCCAACATGGACCTCAGCCAACCAAACCCTAGCCCGCCCCGATGGAATTCAATCGTACCCAGTACCCATGCCAGAGGACTCGAGGAGCTAAAAACACCATGTGTCCAGCAGACTGGCTTAGCTGAGCCAATTACTGCCACCAGAGGCAGTAAACTAACCATGGGCGTACTTGAACTACCAATAGCTAATCAACACAAAACTATCATCAATCACTACCGACCCCTGTCCTGTACAAAAATAGTAACAGTTTTGAATTGAGCGATGTAGATCGAAAAAGGTTTTAAATCCCCACCTTATTTTAGTAAAATAAGATAAAAATCTCAAATTAATCGAGAATTAAAAAAAAAATGTTTTATCGTTAGCCAGACCCAGGTGTAAGGTAACCTATTCGTGCCCAGGATTAGAGATACAGGAAGAATAAGTAAAAAAGAATGAGCAGGTAGACTGCAATGGTTCGGTAGAAAATAGCTAGTTTTAGTTTTGGTGGGGTTACATATATCAATTTACAGATACCTAATACTAGCACCTCTAAATTCTAGATGTTAGAGCTAGACCCACCCATGTAGTTGTAGACCCAACAAGCGCGTCTGTAGGCCCATGTGTCTGGGGTCTGTAGGCTCATTCATCTAGATCTAAAGATAGCGTATCTGGATTTACCTTCGTCTACTGACCTGTACCTGGAGTCTGCGAACCACACAGGGAAATAATAAATTAAAAAAATAAAAAAATATAATAACAATCATTATTATTATTTTTATTTTTATTATTATTGATATATTAAAAAAAATGTTATTATTATAAAAACCTTAATCAGAGAACTTTATTATTAATATAATAAATATTATTACATATATTATAATGTTATCATTTTTATTATAGTTAATATTGATAATAAAATAATTAAAAAATTTAAAAAATATTATTAATAATGAAAAACAAGAATAAATTTAATTTAAATAGTAAAAATTATAAAATATTATTCTTACTGTTATTAATAAATTTAAAATAAAATATTATTATTACAAAAAAAACCATATACTTAATTTGAATGATAAAATAAAAAGATATCATTATCATTGTTATTATTTTTACTATAAATATTATTATTTTTATTATAATTAAAGGTATTAATATTAAAAATAGTATTACATGTTTTAAAAATTCTATTATATTTATTATAATTTAACATATTAATATAAAAAATATTATTATTTGTGGTAGAAATATTATTATTTTTTTATTATAATTAAAAAATATTAACATAAAAAATAGTATTATTATATTATAAATATTATTATTTTTATTATAATTCTCTTGAGTTATATATTAAGACCCATTAACCTTGGATCTATACTAGGGTCCAAGATCAAGGGGTTTTGTGTGAGAATCCAATTCTTATGCGTCTGTTATTTGGATTCAAGATTTTTAGGTTTTGGATTTTTAAATATAATTATTTGTATTATAAATATAATTATTTTTATTATAATTCATAATATTAATATTAAAAGTATTATTATTTATGTTATATATATTACTATTTTTATTATAATTAATATTATCAATAAAAAACTAATAAATTTGAAAATAATTATTATTGATATTGATCAATATTGAAAAACAATCATATATTTAGTTTAAAGATTAAAATTAAAAAAACTATTATTATTATTATCATAAAAAACTATAATTTTTTAAAAAATTAAAAATTTATAAAAATAAATTAAATATTATTATTAGATGTAATATTACAATGGACTCAGTATTTTTTAACCCGACGTTCACAGCGTTATCCAATACTGTTGAATATTTAAATTTATAATATTTTTTATAAAATTAAAAAATAAACCCATAACATAGCACCGGCTCCTCATTAATTTCATAACTATGGTGTGAAGATATAAAGTCAAAGTCAACTTGTACACTGACGGGTAGTTTTTGTGTTATTTTTATTAAAATAATATTATTTTGAGTTTTTTAATAAAAAAAGTGATTTGACATGAAATTACAGGCTAGAGGTCATTTAATTAACCTGTCCATTCTTATAACAGGGTATTTTACTATCAGAGAAACACGTGGCTGCTTAACAACGACACTCCAAAAGCGTGTCGGGTGGGATAGATTGCTACCAGAGTATCAGGGAAAATTATACGCTGCACATGGAGTAAATAGTATCATTTTCAAAGACCTTGATTACCCACCGTTCCTTCCTTTTCCCCTGTAAATCCCCAAATCATCCCTGCCCTCTTATTTGCCGTTCTGAAACAAGCAAGTAACATGATACCACCAGGGGTATCACCGGTAATTACTCAAGCAGCAAACTAAAATAAGCAAGCTCAGTACCATTATCAAATGCACGGTTTAGCCATCCACTAGTAAACAGTACCAAATTCTACCTCTACCAGTCTCTGCTCAATTGCTGCGAACTTTCGATCGCACCACACATTGGAGTAGTTGTTTGATTCAGCAGAGCATCTCGCTTCTCTCACAAGCAGCCACATCCAAACCGTACGAGGTGTGAATTTTCTCCACTGACTTTTTTCTTGCTTTCTATTTTCCAGGTTTCTTTCTTTCTTTCTTTCTCCTTCCTTTTCTTTTCTGGAGCATCATCTTTTACCTCTTTACTAACATATAGAAAGAAATCAAATTAATTGAGCTTTGCATTAGATTTTTTAAATCGTTGTCAGCTTCTACCGAGAGTGAGAGAAGCAGTGATTAATTTGAAGTAACAAGATGTAAAGTGATTATCATTTCTTAATTGCAAGGAGAGTGCAATCCGTTTAGGGGTGTTAAATATTTTTCCTGTTCATGCTGCAGTTTAAGAGTTCGTTCATGTTTTGGAGGTTTTGAGATTGGTATGCTGAAATGCTCGTTTCCGCTATTCTAACATCAGTGGGGATAAACTCTGCTCTATGTGTTATATTCCTGGTACTGTATTCTATATTGAAGAAACAACCAAGTTATTATGAAGTTTATATACCGCGCTTGCTGACGGAAGGGAATTCTAAACGGAGAAGCCGTTTCAACCTTGAAAGGCTAATACCATCTACTGGCTGGTTGCCCAAGGCATGGAAACTATCGGAGGAGGAAATGTTGTCTTCTTCAGGCTTGGACGCCGTTGTTTATATGCGAACTATAACTTTCTGGTAATTACAGTCCTGCTTTATTAAGCCTTTTATTCCCCATTAAACAAAGCCTTATTTGTTCTTGCTCTATCTGAATACTGCAGTTTGAAAGTATTTTCATTCGCTGGGATAATAGGGATATTTATTCTTCTTCCAGTGAACTGTTCGGGGACTGAGCTTCACCAAATTGACTTCGAAGATTTGTATAGCAATTCTCTGGATGTATTCACCATTTCAAATGTAAATCGAGGCTCAAAGTGGTAAGTTCCATCTGCAGATGTGGTTCTAACTTGAATCAGCACCAACATTCAATTTAATTAAGAAATGTCAACGTGCTAAATTTATCCATGTGAATATTCTTAATCCCCTGAGGCTCAGGATTGCTTCTAAAGTTATATGTGCTCTTAACTGCTGCTTCTTTTTATTCGTGCAGTTCCTATTTCACTGTATTTTAGTTCTTAGTTGTAAAACTCAATTTTAAATTTCATTTCTCATTTTGAACGTATGTAGTAGCAACCCTTGCCTGAAACCTTAATTCTGGAAACTTCACCACTCACATTTATATTCAGTTGCAAGACTTGGTTAAACTTTTATATAATTTTTAGCAATGTTACTGTGGCTTTGATGCTTAGAATACTAATTTGAAACTCTTTTTATGGCTTTTAGCTATATTTTGATTCTTATGAATTGCTTAATTGATGACTCTAAGAAACATATTTGTTCTTGCTTCTCGTCAGTAATTGGTTTATATATTGTTTACATTAGAAAATGTTGCTCATTTGGTCCAAATGGTGTTAGCTTATTTGGGCTTCCATTTGTAATGGAAAATGGTTTTCAACCAAAATTAAGAATCCACTTGTTAAAAATGATACATAACTCATATGCATAGTTAATTTGAAGTAAATCTGAGTGAGATGGTTCGCTTTCCCATTAAAATATTCACATATTTATGCCCTGGTGAGTGTCTGGAAATGAATTAACTTTGTCCAGTGTTCACAGTATCAGGCAGTGTGGTATTCTTATGGTAAGGATAGTGTGTGTTGTGTAGAGAAGCTCATGCATTTTGGCCATTTTGGCAGGTTATGGATTCACTTTGCAGCTGTACATATTGCACTTTTTTCATCTGCCATCTACTCTATTATGTAAGTTAGCGTGTAGTGGGTAGAGAAACTCATGCAATTTGTCCATTTTTGCAGGTTATGGATTCACTTCTCTTCTGTATATGCTATCACTATTTTCATCTGCTATCTACTTTATCATGTAAGTTCCATGTTTTGCAGTTACAGGTTATTGTCTACTCTTATTTTAGCAGAATTTGATTACCTCCAAAGTCTTTTTCCTGGTACTGTGACTGTAAGTTTTCCATGTTGATGGTCAGGTGATAATCAGATATTTATTTTGATGTGGATCCATATTTATTGTTCATGTGGGAAGGAAACTGTTAATTATTTAGCACGGTGTCGATCATAGTTATCCTGCTTAATTAACTGATAAAATATATTAATAAGTTACTTCTTGATACATAAACAGCTGCTAATGTGTATTTGATTATGTAGGAATATAAGTATATTTCTTCAAAAAGGATTGCGTATTTTTATTCATCCAAACCTCAGCCACATCAGTTCACCATCTTAGTTCGCAATATCCCTGTCTCAGCTGGAAGCAGTGTCAGTGACAGTGTTCAGAGCTTCTTTACCGAGTATTACCCTGCCACATATCTGTCACATATAGTTGTTCGTCGAACTAGCAAAGTTCAGAGCCTCATTGTAAGTAACATGTCCTTTTCTTTGTCACCATTGTTTATAATTGATTTTTTATCTTTCTTTTGTTTTATATATTTGAGCTCTTGGGAAAAATACACGGTTCTAGTGTTGTGCTGAATTGCATGTCACAGGGCAGCTTGACTTGGAGTGTTTGTGGTCTTTCTTGATAGGAAAAGGTCCTGGGATGTTAGTTAACTGGTTTTGAGATATTATTAGGCTGATTCCAAAAGCAGTAGCCAAAAGGAAAACTATATGTTCATGGTGTCTTTCTATTAAGGCCCTATGATGAGACCTTGCGCTTACAGACGTGGGAGGTGGATTATAACAGTGGTAGGCAGATAAGATCATCAGTACAGTTGTAAAAACAAAACAAAGTGAGGGTTGTGAGAGGGAAATTTGTAGAAGGTTCCACCTTTCTGTTCTTTTTTTCTTCCTTGAATTAGCAAGCTTTCAGTCTTAGAACCTATAATCTATTTGGTCATAAGTCCAAGACTTCTGTTACCATTGCGTTGTACATAAAAAAGAGTAATGAAACGAAGAATGAGTAATAAAAATTTCCCCACCGGTTGTCCAATCATTTATTGCATATAGATGTATGATGAGAATTTCTTAAGGAATTGTTGAAATGAGATTGTTTTTATTATAAAATCCCAGCAAACTACAATTTTTGTGAAAGTTGGTTCCCTTGAATCATGTAGATTCTAACTCCCAGCTTGCAGCTGATAATTGCTAAATGGCTTGTACAATTTAGTTTTTAACATTCATATAAAAATCTCAATTGAAAACCAGTTAACCTTAAATTAAGAATTATCAACTTTTGGAATCAGACTAATTTTATGCACATCAGTGTTGCAAAACTGCTGAAAAAATATTAATTTTCCAGGGAAAGTAGCTATGAAGCTTTTTCTTGGTGGTTAATTATTCTCCAAAATTGTTGAAAACCTGCTGCTAGTATCCATGGTCAGATTGTAATGATAAATTCCTTTTAAAACTACTGCACCTGGCATGATAGTTGATATTTGAATTGGATACACCTTTTTCTTTTTGGAAACATGAGATGTACTCCATAAAATTCCTACTAGTTCTCTTTGATTGTTAAACATTTCTGGAATAAAAAAACTAATGAAAATTGTAAAGCTGCTCAGTGTTATTCCAAGAAACCAGGTACCAAATTCTGGTCACGTCCCAGAGTGATGGCAAGAGAAAAAAAGCGAACTATTCTTTGATGAGTAATTTAGCCATTAGATTAAGAACTGGAATGGATAATCAGTGAAACACCACTCCCCTTAGATTACTTCACATTTATTTCCTTTGTTTTTATGTGGGTTCAGAATGATGCAAAGCAATTATACAGGAGGCTTCTTCACTTGCAATCAGAACCATCTGAGCAGAAGTCTAAGCAAGTTGGATTGTTTGAAAAAAATGTTGATCTTTTGGATCATTATGGGAAGAGGTTAGAAGACTTAGAGCAGAATGCACGATTGGAGCAATCTGAGGTATCATTGGCAAAAGTATGTGGTGCAATTTTCACTGTTATCCTTTCTGTTGTATTTAAATTCCATTTACATTCTTTAATTATCAAATTTCTATCTTATTCAACAATTCAAATAACCATCAAACATAGATGAAGGTGTTCAAATCCTTTAAATTTGGTTGTGCATCACGAGTATCAAATTTAGTAACATTCAAAGATGTGCAAGTTGCAGAATGCTTTGGCATGTATCTTGGTAAATAGTGTTTTTGATCGATCAAAACAGTTATAGGATTACAGTACAATTTAGTTTTTCTCAAAAAAGAAAAGGTAGCTATGCTTGCATGATATTGTAGGTTCACATAATTTTTTCCCCCAATAAAACAAGGAAGAAAGCTGGTTGAATTTTTCTCCTGTCAAGAATTTATTGGAGATCAAGAAGTTTCTGAAATTGTAATATTGCCATAGAAAAAAGCAAAGACTTGCAAAAGAATAACCCAAGTCAAAATGGTAAAGCACAACTTTGGATTAATCAGTGCTTGAATGTTTCTGTCGGTTTTGGAGCTTATGGAGGAAGGAAAATTACAACCCTACCCTTTTCCCTCCCCCTTCACCTCAAAGAAAGATAACAACCCTATGCTCTCTCCTTCAACCTACTTCCCCAAAGGAGATGACATTCTTGTCGGTGCACTGTTTGTGTCTAGATAGGCGCACACTGGTACATGCTTGTGTGCATGCTCATACCAATTTTGGATGGTTTATTTTGGATTTCATTTTCGTCACAGCTCTAGAGCACTATAACCGAAACTTTGCAGTACATCATTTTTTCTGAAGCACTTCAAGTCTCATGGTAGCAGCAACTGTAGTCTGAATGGAATGTCTCATAATAAGTTTTTAACACATCATCTTCAGGTAGAGGATGACTACAAAAACCTGGCTTTCTAAAATCAAGCTGATACCCAGATGTGTATTTTTTCCATTGATTTCCACACCTTCTGATTAGTTTATTTAGATTTTGTCTATTTTTTAATAGTTTTGGTATTGTGCAGTGAATGCTATTAATTTACGTTGTTTCTCTTGTAAAAGGACACTCATGCTGCCTTTGTGTCCTTCAAGACTCGATATGGTGCTTCCACTGTTTTCCACCTGCAACAATCAACCAACCCCACACATTGGCTCACAGAAGAAGCTCCTCAACCAAATGACGTCTTTTGGCCTTTTTTTTCTTCATCATTCATGGGAAGATGGATTTCTAAGCTTTTGGTTGTAGTTGCGTGTATTCTTCTTACAGTCGTGTTCCTTATTCCTGTTGTGGTTGTACAAGGTCTTACTAACCTGAGTCAGCTGGAAGTTTGGTTTCCATTCCTCAAAAGCATTCTAACCATGTAAGTAATGATCTCAAGTCCTTGTATTACCAGAGTTCCCATCATATCATCCTTGACATTTCAATTATCATCGCTGCTTCTGTTGCTGCCATTTTACTTGAAAACCCTTCCCCACTCTCTCTTGCCTTCTACTTTTCTCCCACTATAAATTGAATTGGTACTGTCAACAAAGAATGGTGACTGGTATGTTAAGAGTATATCCTGGGGTGCTTGCTTCTAGTATGCATTTCATGAATGTCAATGTGATAGGATTTAACCATGATTATGAATTTTAAGGATTTATGCTGAACAACATCAATGAAATAATTCAGAATTTTTCATATGTAGTTTCTCCAGGGATCCTCTATTGACATCGTGGAACCCTTTTTTATACATTGGATGCTTTTATTGTTGATGTGGCATTTGGTGTTATATGCTGCCACTAGATTATCAATAATAGGTGCATTAAGTTTGTTTTTCATGATCTTGGAAGAAAAGTACTTTCTGATGAACTGCATCAGTTCTTTCCAGTGGGACCCTTCTGAATTTCAATCATATCTGAAATGTGCCAAACAAATAGAATTGTTTTAACTAATATTTCATTCCATATTAGAAAAGAATGTTTTTCTTCTTTAACACATGACTGAGGTTATTAATAAGAATTACTCTGTTATAGCTGGATTTTTGCAGGACACTAAATTTTGTGAATCTTGCAGAGCATTTGTCAGTCAAATAGTTACAGGATATCTTCCTAGTCTGATTCTTATGTTGTTCCTAAAGATCGTGCCCCCAATCATGGAGTTCCTCTCCTCCATTCAAGGATACATTTCTCATAGCGAGATAGAGAGGAGTGCATGCAACAAAGTACTCTGGTTCACAGTATGGAACATCTTCTTCGCCACTGTATTTTCCGGTTCCGTGTTAAATAAGCTTTCCATTATTCTTGATCCCAAGAATATTCCTGCAAAACTGGCTGTTGTTGTTCCAGCACAGGTGAATTTATGTTACTGAGATTTTATAACAAAATTTTCAATTTGATATGAGAGAGAGGAGTGTGTGAGTTTGTGTGTGTTTTTGGCAGTAGAGAAACCTGACATGTTTGCTGAAAACTCATTCTTTCTGTCAATTATATCTTGCATTGCTCTCCACTCCTTTTCTCAATACTGAAAAGACAATAAAAAAACAAATGAATTTTTTTGAAGTGGAAGGAGATAATCTAAGAGCATTTTGTCAGCTGGAGTGCTTAATACAGCTTCTTCACGGACCGACAACTTAAAAATATTGGGATAAAATACAAAAACCCTCCTATAGTTCGATTGAAACTTCACTTTCCCTCCATATACACTTTACATCCTGGATTAATAAAAAAACTCAAATAAAATGCACTGTTGAGGATGTAAACTGTTATTAAACATATAAGCTACATGATGGAAAGTGTAATTTATGAAGGTATGGAGGGAAAGTGAAATTGAAATCAAATTACAGGAGGATTTTTGTTATCATCCCAAAAATATTTGGTGGCCTTCCACTATGAGGAGTGAAATAGCCAATTATGAGATTCATGACAGCTAGATGATTTTCTGATTGAAAAATTGCTGTGGCATATAACAAGAATGTGTAATTTTTAATTTCTATTTTTTGCAGGCATCATTTTTCATTGCTTATGTTGTCACATCTGGATGGACAAGCACTTCATCGGAACTTTTTCGGATAATCCCTCTAATTTGCAGTCTAATGACGAAGTGTTGTGCTGAAAGTGCAGATGATGAAATTGAAGTTCCATCTATTCCTTATCACAGGGACATTCCCAGGATTCTTTTCTTTGGACTTCTTGGTATTGCATATTTCTTCTTAGCTCCCGTCATTCTGCCCTTCCTACTGGTGTACTTCTGTCTTGCATACATCATCTTCCGTAACCAGGTTTCTTTTCCTTTTTTTTTTATCATGCTTTTTATAATTTCATGACTTCAAAATATATTGTATCAGGGTAGGTTGTTTGGTTGTTATGTAGTTTCAGAATTTTATCATTGTCAAAGATATTTAAAGTGTGGAAACACTAAAATGTTTACAGAATGAGTAACAATACAAGGTTCTCAGTTATATCTACCTGCTCAATGTAATTCTTTTGGTAAATAGGGAGATATGAAGAAGGAGCATTCCCTTTTTATATCAGCAAAGATCACCACTGAAAAAATGTGGTGAGCAGTATCAGCTAGTAAGAGTCCACTGTGGTCTTAGCTCATGCCTGTCTATAGCAGATATAGGGAATAGAATAATCGTAATGAAAGTGTGGGTAGCTGCAAGCGTGAGTTTGTGTAAATTTTCCTCTTTCATTATGATGTATGATCGCTTTGGGGGCTGTTCTTCAGGAGATGTTAGGGACTGCAAACAGTTGCATGAACAGTGTTTTAAGAGATTTTAGGTTAGGAAGGGACCATGATTTTTACAGTTTGTATTTCTGCGTTACTCAAGTTTAAATATTTTTATGTTAGTGCTAGTTTTACAGGTTCTGGAACAAGTTTAATACTCTGCAAATTTATGATGCAGTTCATAAATGTATATGCTCCCAAGTACGAAACTGCTGGGAAGTTTTGGCCTATCGTACACAACTTGGTGATATTTTCTCTGGTACTCATGCATGCGATTGCAGTGGGAATTTTTTCTCTGAAGAAGCTCTCTCTCGCATCAACCTTAGTCTTACCTCTTCCAGTTCTCACGCTTCTGTTTAATGAGTACTGCAGGAAACGCTTCCGCCCCATTTTTACAGCTTATCCAGCTGAGGTATGTTGATATTCCAATTTTATTACTGCACACCATGGCCAAGGGGATATCAATCCTTGTGCTTTCATACTTTTATCCCCTCTCCGCCACCCTTTCCCCAAGTGTACTTATGATTTCTTCTGCGTCTAATGTTCAACCCAAATATTGACCTGGATATGTGTTTTCAGATATTGATAAAGAAGGACAGGGAAGATCAAAATGATGCTACGATGTCTGAATTTTTTGATAAATTGGCCACCACCTATCAGGACCCTGCTCTAATGCCGATTCAGTACTCTGCAGACTGTGACAGCCTTAACAGACCCCTTTTATCATCTTCTGAAACGTCAATGTGAGGTTGTCTTTGCACTGTATTGACTATTGAGCTGAATAGTAGTGTTGGTTTCTATTATCAACCACCATTTCCATATGTTACCCTAGATATATCTTTCATTTTTTCAAGTGAAATAGCAAGTGCCTTGAAAAACACATCCGATGCATATGTGTGTGCATATTAGCCCACGCATGCTTGTATTTATTCATGTACATGCTTTCCAATTTATTGCAAGGACATCCCAAATACTTGTTTCAATTGACTATTTTCATCTAATAGTTAGCTCCCCGCCTTTACATTTTACTCGCCATTGGTCAATGAGCTAATAAAATAGGAGAAAAACCGGAAGCACAGAGAAATGGCAGTCGAAAACATGTTTATTTTTAAAAAGTTGGTACTGGTTATTTTTTTCAGTGCATGTAGGAGGTTATTTTTCACTTTTAGTCAAATCTACACCATTATTAAATTAAGTACTCGTCTAATATCGCCTAGCTGGAAATGTTTGGTATCTACGAAATTGAAGAGAAGTTGAAATATAAAATGAATGATACAGGTCTCTGCAACATGGATTTTTCAGTTAAAATATCAGCCTCTTGTTTTTCCGTGTTTTTATTTTGAGAATGATATCAGTGTGGCAAAGGCTTCTAGTTGTAGAATGTCGGGTACCTGATAATTATATTACAAGGATGGTTGGTTTAATGCAAGCATCAAGTCCAGTAAGCCTTTGCCTTTTTTGGTAGATCAAACACTGGCAGAGTATCATTCTATGTCATGGACGATCCTTATCGGAGTGGCTTTATAAGTGTTAGAAGTCATCCTGGAAGGCAGGGGAGACCACTGGCTGGTGGATGGTTTGTCACGTGATAAAACAAATAATTCTGAAGGGATCGAAATGAAAAATAGCTGAACTTTAGGGACTGATACTGCATTTTTTAAACTTTCTTTTTCCTTGTTCCTTTTTGTTTGTGCGGGGGGTGGAGAGATGGCCCTCACAAAGCTATACCATGCACCGCCCATGTGGGTGATCATTTTGGGTGATTTTGATGATGAAATGGTTTTGATTTGCTGCTGAGTGATTGTTTTAGTGGATGCTGCTGCATGCAATCATATTTCCACTTTTTTACTCTCATAACCATTCTCTTACTATTTTCTTCATGATTTACCAAAGTCTGGAACTGAATCTAGGAGCTTTAGGCCATATTCGAAGTGGGAGATTGTTATTCGGCAGTGAAAACTAGTGGCATTTTGGCCTTGGAGTTCATCTGGAATAAACAGTACATGTGGTTTAGTACACCTGACAATCAATTAGCTTATGTATAGCACAACCCAAGAAAAATTTAGGTACTTATGTACACTTTGGGCTGAGAAATGGGGTACTAGATGGAGTTTACTGAGAATGTACAGTTATCTTGTCCCCCGATTTTATGAAGAATACCAGAAGCATACTGTATCCTTTCCTACTCCCAGTTCCTCAAATTCATCGTGTTCTTTGCTTCTAAACTTGCTTGGAAAGAGTTACTGCAGAAATCCTTTTCTTAGCACTACACTGCCCTAAGAGCCCGTAACCGTACCTGAAACTGTTTATGCTCAAGTTCTTTTGGCAGAGAAATCTGACAAAGAACATAGAAATGTCCTTCACAATGTTTTCCATCATGAAGTAACAGTTATCTCTGCAATTTATCAGAAAAGGCAGAGATTCTTAGCTATAAGCTGTGTCTGCTCTGCTACTCGTGCGCTTTTGATATCCTATCGTTCAGTTTCTTCATAAATGCAAATCAAAAGGTTCGTGACCCCATATTCAATAGATATGGTTACCTTGCACTCGGATTGGTGAAGGCACGCTTTGTAGCTCTTGTTTAGGGAAATCTTCTCTTGCAGTTTGAATTGTTGGAGCTATAAAAAATGAAAGAAAACATTTTTTTTCTCTCGAAATTCTGTTAAAATTGCATAAAAAATCAAGAGGGGTTAAGCCTCGAATGGGTTAATCTAGGATGGTAATATCAATGGAGCAAGGAACGCAGACGGGGAATTCATCGAGAGCATTGGGCTGTTTGTCTCATCTTTTGGGATTGTCTCCGCAAACATTGTTGTGGCTGTGCTGCGTCTCATTTGTCAAGTTTCTAATTTTTTACTTTTCTTCCAAGAGGTTTTGGCCCTAGTAAAATTTTCCAAAAAAAAAAAAAACGTAGTTGAACTACACAAGAATTAACCAGTGAAGGAATGGTATTAGTTTGAGCTCAAGCATGAAGAATTGAACCTCATCGATAGTCTGTAGACTAACCACCAAAAAAATAAAATGCTAGAATTCAATTATTGAAAAGTGCAGCAGCAGAGAAAATGCCATGGCCGGGTAATTTCCATTACAGGTCTAGGAAATATAGCCAGGGTATTTGAAGTGCTTGCTTCGTACTGGCCTCAAAAACGGGATAAGCGTATAGAGACTGACTGGGATAAAAAAAAGCAACGACCAAACAACCTTACCCTCGATTGATCTGTGGATTTTATCTCCCTTGCGAAGTTGATGGTTTTGTATTGTTTCTTGGAAAATCTTGCTAGTGTTGAATGTAACGAAGATGAAGGGTAAATATTCTGAATTACAAGAAGCACTACGAGACAACATGTCCCTTTAACTAGATTGGTTTCTACAATGTTCATTGGTCATTACTTGAAAAATTATTTAGTGTTGGTTTTCGAAACAAATCACACATCACTATCACTGCGTGACAAGAGAGAAGTAGAAGGAAATTAAAACCCATCAAAGTATGACGTGCATGTTGTCACAAGTGATACATAAATCAGTACACACAAACCGTACTCCTCTCAACTCATAAATAATTTAAGAAAGAGTTTTGACATGGTCTAATAAGATTTCATAGAACTTGCTCTACATTGAAGTCTCCTCTTCGTCGAAAGGGATATCCAAGTGAGGTTTTGATTAAAGAAAGAAAGAAAAAAGGAGCCGAATTAAACGAGGAACAACGAGGTAATTCCAAGCAGTAGAACCCAGACTATTCGCAAGTTTCATGCAAGTGGACAGCATCCCCTCACCCTTATATACACGTCTGAAAACGTCGCACAGAACACATAAAAGCGAGCTTACGTGCAAGCTCCATCGACCAGAACACGGTATTTAAACATAACAGGAAGGCTGTAAACTAGAAAGCAATCGTCAGATCAGGAATATGGCGAGGAAGAGAAAGGCAGGTGAGGGTGAAGAAGAGAGGGTAAGCAATGATGGGAACGTGGGTTGGGACCAAATGATGGAGGATGCTGAATCACTCCATGGAGTTCGGAGAGCTCGAAAACGATACCTTGGGGTGAGGCAGCGGCCGTCAGGCCGATGGGTGGCAGAGATAAAAGATACAATTCAGAAGATTAGAGTGTGGTTGGGGACTTATGATACTGCTGAGGAAGCCGCAAGAGCTTATGACGAGGCAGCTTGCTTGCTCCGAGGAGCTAATACTAGGACAAATTTCTGGCCTTGCTCCCCGTCTCTACATTCAAAGCCAGCTCTTCCCCCAAAGATCGTCAACCTCCTGTTACTTAGGATTAAAGCTAGACACAATTCACTCACACAGACCACTACTTTCCCTGTTAACCAACAGGAGCAAGAAGCCAGAGAACAGGAAAGCCAGTTCGACCATTTCTTCGAAATGCCTGGAGATATCAGCATTGTTGAAAATAGTGATACTGCTAATAGCACTGCTGATACTATGACTATCAGCGACCACACGAGTGGTTTCTTTGAATCACGTTATATTACAGAAGATCATGGGAGTACAAGCACATTTGAAGTGGATGATAGTTGGAGAAATGTTGATGGCAGTGGTCAAGGTGGACAGGAAGAGGGGAGAGGAGAAGAAGAGATTGATATGGGGCTGATTGATTTTCAATTTGATGATGCATTAGGATCATCTTTCTATCATTCTCCATTTGATATAGCACAGGAGATGATGGAGCCAATGGAGCAGGAACATCATGGGGATGAGCCACCAATGATTAGAGAGATCATGAAGCGGTGGAAGCACGAACGGAAGTTCTCAGCTTCTCTTTATGCCTACAATGGGGTATCCGAATGTTTAAGGCTGGCATTCAGACCAGGAATGCCAGCGGTGGCAAATGGTGGGTATGAGTTGCCATCTAACCTTGGGATCAATAGCAATAACAACGAGGAGGAAAAGAAAAGAGATGACATGGGAAAGGATGCCAAAGAGGAGGTGCAAGAAGAAGTCGAGATTCCACAAACCCCAACAGAAAAGGGGTCCTCGTCTTCTTCCTCTTATTTGAGCAAGGAAGATGGTGAATTGTCTCTCTGGAGTTCGCTCGATCTTCCTCCTATCTGCTTCAATAACATTTAAGGGATATTGGTAATAGTATGAGCTAATTGTGTTACTCCTATTTTTGTAGCAACTTAGGCAGAATTCTTAATATTTCATTTAGCATCAAAATAAGTGACAATTGTAGGTCAGCATTGCTGCATTTTGGTTAATGCTGCATTGCAGAGAACAATAATCAAACAAATTCCAATTAAGTTTCAAGTTTGGATTATTGAATTGTGTTCCCAATGTACAAGAATCTAAAGCAGAGCAAACAGCACTGCTAGAAGGAGGTTGCTTGCCTCGCCTCCATAAATAAATAAGCTATGTGGTAATCTCTTGTGTAATTACGCTGTACTTTCATTTTGGCACTCTAATTAATTACAATAAAAATTAGGATTCAAATCCAGGGTTGGTCCTCTTTTTCCACTATCCTTGAGCACACCTAGTGCTTCTGCAATACCCATAAACCTGATTTTTAAACCAATCGAGACGTTAACTAACCATCACTAATTAGAAAGATAAAGAACATTGTTAACTTTAGTTAATGTGATGATCCAAGACTTCTAGCCTTTGTGCAGAATGTCAAAAGTTTAGTTCCCTTCCATTTACCTAAATCATGTTCACAGAGCGTTTTAGGCTTTACTTACAACTTTAGCTAGAGAAAGAGAGTGCGAGAGAGAGAGAGACTTTACGATGTTTCTATTTGGTACCAAGTTCAACTCTAAACTAGTGGCTAGAGAGCGTCTTCAAAGTGTCTATAATGCTAACAGAGTTGTGTTTTCTGCGAAGGTACATGATTCAAAAGAGGTGATGGCAGATATTCATGTAAGGATAAAAAGGAACGCCTAGGAGCACAGAATAGAAATGCAGATATTCCTGTGACAGATTCTGAGACATTAACTGGCATGGCGGGCAAACAATTCGTGTTACAGCTGCTAGGCAGA